CTTCCTCCCCCAAAAGCCAGAGAGGAAAAGCTGCTCTTCAACCCAGGGTGCAAAATGTTCCTTAGTCAGTTGGGCTTGCCCTGGCAGGGCCACAGGCCTCTATCTTAGCTACCTCAGAGAGCTCTTTCGATGGGCCTAGCTTCAGAACCATCCAGTGCGCTGCAGTGCCCTGGCCTGGGGAAAGGATTTCTCAGTCTGCTTTCCCAGAGACTGAGGGTGAACCAGACCGCAAGAGCTAAAACCCCTGCCCGCCGAGAAGGTCTGCTGCTGCCCTCCCATCTGCAGTAGGTCTAGAGACGGAAGAACAGGTGCCCTCAACACCACTGCAGTGGACGGCAGTTGATTAAGATGGGGGGACAGCTCTTGGCCCTCACGGTGGTGGCCAGTGCCTCTGTGGGCCCGTCCCGGCCCCCACCCTGAGCAATGCTTCCCGGGCCTGCAGGTGCAGCCCCTTCTGCCCAACTGTGGCCCTCCAGGGAAATTGCCTCGGCCAGCCTTGCTTCCCCAGGGTCCACTCCGAGCGGCCCGAGGGTGGAGTAGCCAAGGCCTGGCTACGGCCTATGCCGATGGTACAAGGCAGAAGGGCTGCCACCTGTGGCCTGCGGGGGATGGGAGGCGAGGAGCAGTTCACTCGCCAGCTCTCCTCTGAACCTCCACCATTTGGGACTTCATTTTTATTATGGATCTTCTGTGCCTATGTAAGGAAGGCTCATGCGGTTTAATTCTAGGAGAGTTTTTCCCCTGGTCGTTTGCTAGGGAAGTAAAAATGAATGCAGGAAAATAATTTCCATCTTGGTCTCTTCTGTAGGGACGGAGTGACACAGCAGCCAGGCCACCCATGTCTGCCTGCTAGGATGGCAGAACTCTTAGGCGGGGCTTCAAGGCCCTTTAACCTCTGCCCAGTAGGGAGGCCAGACCAATCCCCATGCAGGTCCCCCAGAGGCCACCCAGCCTGGTGACCACCTTCTGGGAGCAGTGGCCCTTCTGGGAAAGGGGTGGGGAAAGAAGAACCAACCTACCCTTCAACCCCTGATGCTAGAGATGCAATGGCATTGCCACCAGCCTTGGGGAGGGTTCTCTATACACACTCCCACCCCAACGGCGCTCTGTGCGCCTCAATAGGGTTCGGAGGGCCCATCCAGAACGACTGCCGCGGCTGGGCCAAGTGCATGGGCAGGGTGTGCCTAGGGGCATGTGGATGGGGACCGAAGTCATAGTGACCCGCACGTTGGGGCAGAGGGCACGTTATGGGCCCTGGATAGGCCCCTCATGTGAGAGGGAAGTTGTTGAACACCAGGTCGCACCGGGAGGCAGGGGAAGGGTCGGGTGGCACAAGGCGTGGGCGGGCCATCATGGTGGCTGGGCAGGTTCTGCTGACGGCCCTCGGGGGGGGGGGCCCTCCACCCCTCTGCACCCTTCTCCACAGGCTCTCTCCAGCGGGGTGTCCCAAGGCGTGTGAAGGTGTTCTCTAAGAGGATATGGGGTATATAAGTAGGAGAAAAACATTAAACCAACCTAAGGAATCTAGCCTGGGACCAGGGCCAGCACCTCTGGACAAGGAGATGCGGCTCCACACGTTGATCCAAGCACAAAACGTGGATACCCCTCAAATGCCACTACAAGAAACCAACGGACAAATCTGCACTTCCCCTGGTGCTTGGCTCTTACAGTGGCACCTTGGGAAATAAATTGGGAAACCAAAAAAAACAAACTGTCATGTCCATCCACCAGGGTCAGCAAAAGCATCCCCTTCAGCAGGGCCTTGGAGGCCACCCTCAGTGACTCATAGTTACTTTTCATTTTTTTTCTTTTTTTTCTAAACATAGATGGGGTTTTGCCATGTGCCCAGGCTGGTCCAAACTCCCTGGGCCCAAGTGATCCAGCCTGCCTCACCCTCCCGGAGTGCTCGGTGCTGGGATTGCAGTTGTGGGCCACTGCACTTAGCCCTTTTTTTTTTTTTTTTAAAGGAAAAACAGATGGGGTCTTGCTATTTTGCCCAGGCTAGCCCCAAACACCTAGGCTCAAGTGATCCTCCCATCTCTGCCTCCTGAGGAGCTGGGATCGCAGACGTGTGCCAACATGTCTGGCTTCACTGCTTTTTAGCCTCGGAAGCGTCAGCTGGGCCTACTTTTTCTTTAGCCAGGTGTGGCTTGTTTGATTCCAGAGAACAAACCCATCCCTTGGGACTTCCTCACCATCAAGGAGATGCCAAAACTATACTGAAGGCTTTGAGGGCCTTTCCATAGGCGTGAGATGTGGCTGCGCGGGTGGAGTCAGGTCTATTGCCACCTGAGGGACAGCACCCCCTCCTCTCCCGTGCTGGGTTGAGTGCCAGGACACCCAGGGAGGCCAGCAGGAGCCCACATGGTCTGTGGTCCTCTGCTCCCTCGGCAGTGCTGTGCTGCAGGGCGGGGCTGCTGCTCTGTCCTGGGGGCCTGGGGAGGGGCACTTGCCTCCATTCTTTCTTTTCTGTTCCTCTTCAGCCTCCTTCTGAATTTCCTCAATAAGCTTCTCATCATCTTCCTAAAATGCAAGCAATGACAAGGATGAGCCTGCAGCTTCATGCAGTGCTGAGACCCCATGTGACAGAGGGGAGGCTGCCTGTTCCTGGTGGCCATGGAACAAGCTCAAAGCCTGTTGCTGGCCACTAAAGCCTGGGCTGCACACCGTTCCTTCCCATTTCTCTGAACGCCTCTTTCCTTCATCAGCCTGATGGCGTTCCACGAGGAGGCCATCCACAAGGCTGGGCAGAGGGGTCTGAGCATGGCAGGCAGCTGCCTGGTGAGGTGGGGGAGGGTGGAGGGCCTCCATGCACTGAACAACTGCGTGCAAGTGGTGGATATGAGAAGGGTTTGGAGATGGCTGGGTCTGAGTGGGCAGAGCCTGAGAAGTTTCAGATCCCAAGTCCACAAGCGCTGGGCATGGCAGTCTGTCTGCAGAGCCTGGAGAAGTCTTGCAGATGTCCTCAATTGAGATGGACAAATGTCCAGTCTGGCCCTGCCTAGCCCCAAGGCTGGCCTGGGTTCCTGGGCCAGGCCTCGGGGAGGATGGTCCCCCTCTGATCTTCCTGTCTCTTCTCCCAAATCCCATGCTTGGTAGGCCCGAAATGACAAACACAATTCACACTTGGGTTATACAAGACAGGAACCAAGAGGCACTGTGAGTGCAGGCAGACATGGGAGCTGTGCTGGGAAACTGAGGGGCCACCCTGGGCAAGCCCCAGAGGTTAGGTTTTTGCCATATGCAGCTCCCACACCTCCACCTGCCAGCAGACACCGTGGTGGGAGGACCGGTCTGTTGCCCCAGGACAGACCACCCGTGATGCCTGCTTCATGAGTGCTGCTGACCTTAACCCCTCTCCTCAGTGACCCACAAAGCAGCCTTTCAGTTTGTGGGACTGAAAAAAGACTAAGTGGATTGAAAAAACCCACCAAGTGGGTGCCCATCTTTCCTGGCTGGCTGCAGGGCCAAGGGTCTAAGGTGTGGCCCTGAGAGGGCTGAGGCTCACAAGAAGCAGAGTGGGAACACCGTGGCAAACCCCAAACACACCAACTGCCGGCTCAGCACGCAGGAAAGAGAGGGCTGACTATAGGAGGGGCTCTGTTCCCTGGGGTACTCCAGGAGTTGACAGCAGCCGAGCTGGGCAGAAGGAGGGAGAAGGAAGGAGAGGGATGGTGGTCCCTGATATTGTGAAGGGATTAGCAAGTCCCCAAAACGCAAGCAGTCTAATGAAAGCACATTTATTTTCCTAGACACGGCTTCAGAGCCTAACCATACGGCCAATTTCTTTGCTTTGGGATGAAATATTAATAATGACCACTCTGGATTTTTTCATGCCGATTTGATGACACCCAGAGCAGCAACTGGAAGGAACACAATCCGTGGCCTGCAGGAAGATGGCAGTTCCATGAGGGCTAAGCAACGGACAGTTTGCAGGTTTACTTACTAGGTTATTAATGTCACAGCTGAGACAGAAATCAGTGATTTCCCCACACACAATTGTTTGTGGACCTCAAGGATTATGAAGTTAGCAATTTCCTTCACTAAAGGTGCACTGAATGCCTACTCTGTGCTAGACACTGATCTAAGTTTACTGGTTAAACTTCAGATCAACAATGAAACAAAGGCAGATAGAATGAGTAAGTAATTAGATAACACATTCCCTTGGTTTGGTGGATGAAAGATTCTTAGAATAGAGTCCCCGGAGACTGGCTCTGTCTGCAATGTGGATGACACTATTCAATTCTCCTACATTCTCTAGGCCTCAGATGCCAAGTGATGGGTTGGACTAAAAGGTCTCACAAGCTTCTTTCCAACTCTGACACTTGGACATTAAGATACTCAAGTATGTTTTCAGCAGAAGCAGCCTCCTTGCTGCTGCCTGGCCAGGTGTTCTGAGCAAGGTGTGAAGAGAGGAGAGGTAACAAAAGTCAAGTTCCCATCATGCATATCAACAGTTGCGAAGTGTCCAAGCACACCATAGAATCGTCTAGAAGGAATCCTGAGGAAGCTGTCTCTCTCCGGGGTTAACATGTAAGAATTCTCTATCAAAACCCCAAGACGAGGTCATCTAGCCTCTTTGTGAACACTTCATAAGGGGGAACTTACTACCCTCAACATATACTAAGCGAGTCAACATGAAGGGCTTCCGTAACTCAAGAGGGTTGGGTGGGCAGTTTGAAGGCCTCCATGTGAATATCAAGATAGATTCTATCAACTCTCTAGACTGGGAGCTTGCAAGCCTCTTCATTTTGGAGCCAGCGGCAGGTCTAGGAAAAAAGATTAAAAAAAAAAAAAAAAAGAAACAAAAAACCCCAACAAATTAAGGGAAGTGATCCAGAAAACTGGTGGGATCACTTGAGCCCAGGAATTTGAGACTAGCCCGGGCAATAAAGTGAGATCCCATCTCTACAAAAAATACAAAAATTAGCCAGGCGTGGTGGTGCGAGCCTGTAGTCCCAGCTACTCGGGAGTGATCGTGCCACTGCACTCCACACTCCACCCTGGGTGACAGAGTGAAACCCGTGTCAAAAAAAAAGAATGAAAGAAAAAAGAAAGAAAATTGCGCAGCAGGAGAGCCGTGGGCCTACACCTCTTAGCTAAGTGAGGTCGGCAGGTTCCTGAGTATCCCTGCGTCTAGGCAGCTCATCTGTAAATGGGCTGCTTTGTCAAGGACTGAATGAGCTCAAGTATGTAAAGGATGTAGCCCAAAGTAAACGGTCATGATTAGGACACAGGAAAACTGAAAAATGACAGGTAGAGAGTTTTAAAAGTTAAGTTTCATAAAGAAGTGGTGCACACTGGGAGACACCCACACTGTTTCTTTCAGGGGTCCTGACTCTGGTCCGTTATTAATCACAACCAACAGGACTGCACAACCACCACTCCGCCTCCCCCCAACCTCTGCTGCATCTCCTCGATGCAGTTACACCATCAGTCCCCCAGGGACACTTATGGCCTTCCATGGCACAAGGAGGTACCTTAGGAATCATCCATTCCAACCTCTGTAGCACAGAAACTGAGGTCCCTGAGAAAGTACCTTGTTCAGTGTTATGGCTAGTTGGCGGTGAACTGGGACAAACGCACACACCGGGCCACTCAATGGTCCTTCTGGAGGAAATCCACAGAAAAGATATCCTGAAGGTGTCCCTGCCCCATACAGGGCACCTACACCAGTCAGGACCGTGCTAGACGCTGCAGACACAGTGAGGAGTGTGGCAGCCCTGGCCCTCCTTGTCAGGGCCTCACGTCTCTGCTATGAGCACCGTTCTAGCCAGCACCCCTCTCCGGAATTCCACGTGGATAGAAGTGGCAATTTCACAGCATTAAAGACTAGACACTCAGTGGCTCACGCCTGTAATCCCAGCACTTTGGGAGGCTAAGGCAGGCGGATCACGAAGTCAGGAGATCGAGATCATCCTGGCTAACACAGTGAAACCCCATCTCTACTAAAAATACAAAAAATCAGTGGAGAGTGGTGGCACGCGCCTGTAGTCCCAGCTACTTGGGAGGCTGTGGCAGAAGAATCGCTTGAACCTGGGAGGCAGAGGTTGCAGTGAGCCGAGACCACGCCACTGCACTCCAGCCTGGGTGACAGAGGGAGACTCCGCCTTAAAAAAAACAAAAACAAACAAACAAAAAAACCCAAAACTAACCACTAACCCTCTTTTTTTCCTCAGACTCTCCCATGATACAGCAGGATGGACAAGAGAGGCTCTTTTTTGGGTAGAAGAGCTCTGGCCCCCTGTGGCACTGCTGAGACTGAGAGCATGTAGGCCACTGCCTGATTCTTATCACTAAGTTTCCGTGATAAATCCCAGTGCTCCTGAATAAATCCTATTTCAGAACTCCCTCCTGAGGCACCTGCATAGGAGCACAAGCCCAGGTTTCTGATACAGACTGCCGGGTCTGGAGGCCAGTGCAGATAGAATCTTCCCAGCCTGCCATTCAGAATTCTTCTTGGAGAGGAAGAGGGAGCCTTAGAGTCCCAAGGAAATGAACGCTGCATCCTCACCCTCCGAAGACAGCCACCCTGGAGCTTTTCTTCTGATCCCTCCCTCTATTCTGATCACTCTCCTGATTGACAAGAGGAATCAAGACCCTTTGTCCTTGAGTCCCGTCTTGGGAGTCAAGCCCTTAAGAGTCTAAAGACAGCCGGGCGCGGTGGCTCAAGCCTGTAATCCCCGCACTTTGGGAGGCCGAGACGGGCGGATCACGAGGTCGGGAGATCGAGACCATCCTGGATAACACGGTGAAACCCCGTCTCTACTAAAAAATATACAAAAACCTAGCCGGGCGAGGTGGCGGGCGCCTGTAGTCCCAGCTACTTGGGAGGCTGAGGCAGGAGAATGGCGTAAACCCGGGAGGCGGAGCTTGCAGTGAGCTGAGATCCGGCCACTGCACTCCAGCCTGGGCGACAGAGCGAGACTCCGTCTCGGAAAAAAAAAAAAAAAAAAAAAAAAAAAGAGTCTAAAGACAGTCTGGGGTTTGTATTTCACCCAAAATGGTGGCACTCAGCTACGATGATCTGCAATTTTACCATAAATCATGAGCCAACTGTCAGTTATACCTAGATATGGCTTGTTTCAGATTTCAACTGTCTCCAATTGGCTAGAGCCACAGGACACTGTGCTTAGTAACTTTAATAAAACAAAGTTTTTTTCTTTTTTAAAAAGAAAAAAGTTACACTTTTAGCTAATATGTTAGACTCTAAGAGAAAGATTTCTTTCCTTTTTTTGAGACAGTGTCTTGCTCTACTGTCCAGGCTGGAGTGCAGTGGCACCATCATAGCTCAGTGCAACCTCCACCTCCTGGGCTCAAGAGATCTTCCTGCCTCAGCCTCTCAGTAGCTCAGCCTACAGGCGCCCACCACTACATCCGACTTTTTTTTTTTTTTTTTTGAGACGGAGTCTCGCTCTGTCGCCCAGGCTGGACTGCTGCAGTGCGATCTTGGCTCACTGCTACCTCTGCCTCCCGGGTTCACACCATTCGCCTGCCTCAGCCTCCTGAGTAGCTGGGACTAC